CAACACCAGACCACACCCTGCACCAGCAGCTCAGACTCCGCATCACTCCCCAGCTGTGTGACCTTGGATGTGTTATGGAACCTCTCTGCCTCCTTGTCTGTAAAATGGAGATGGTAATACAGATGGGCTGGCGCTGTGGCGTGGTGGGTAAAGCCACAACCTGAAGCGCCGGCATCCCATATGGTTCAAGACCCGGTTGCTCCACTTCTGATCCAGCTCCCCACTAATGTGCCTGAGAAAGCACCGGACAATGGTGCTTGCGTCCCTGTACCCATGTAGGAGATCCAGACGAAGCTCCCAGCTCCTGGCTGTGGCCTGGCCCAGCCCCAGCCATTGCAGCCATTTTGGGAGTGAACCAGGGGATGGAAGATCTCTCTGTCTTCCTCTCTGTCTTTCCCTCTCACTCTCTCTGTAAAATCTGCATTTAAAATAAAAAAATAGAGAAAAAGTCCACTGTGTGCCTTCACTTGTGTTCCACGGCCTGGCACGTAGAAACCACCCTGCTAAGTGCAGTTACAGACCTAAGAGTCTGTCCACAGAGAAATTCAGTGGCAAGGAGAATGGGAAGCCATCACCCTTCATGTCTACCAGGAGCACACTAGCAGGCCCAGGAGGCTGGGACCCCAAGGCCATGGGAGGTCAGCAGAAGGGGGGTTTGGGAAGCCACACCACTTCTGGGCGCCCCTTCCGCCCTTGGGAGCAGCCCAGAGAAAGCCAGACCCACGGGAAAATCAGCCAGAACCAAACAAACACAGTTAGGAAGGAGAGCCTGTGGCAGGTGCGCGGTGGCAGGCCAAGACCAGGTGGCAGAGAGCCTGCGATTTTCCGGGAGAGAACGCAGAGCGCAGTGGTCTTGTACTCCCCTCGGCAGAGGAGGGGACTGCTCGCTGCAGCCCCGCCTCGTTTCCCCGTCGCTGCTGAGGAATGAGGTGTCTGGAAGCGACTTTTCTAGATAACTGAAGTCTGTCCCTGTGCCCTAACGTGGTTTCACGGGATCACTCTGGGGAGAAATCTCTCTGCAATTGACTGCACGTGCTCCTGCATTCACAATCAGAGCGCTCCACGCTGAGCGCAAGCTTCTCCTTCCACCTTGGGTAGGAGGCGCTGGTCGCCCTCGCACTGCCGGCTCCAGGTGGTTTCGCGTGAGGCTACCGTTGTGGCCTGTTTGCTTCCATTGCTTCCTTCTGTGACATAGAGTGTTTGCCATGTATTTTAGGAGCCCCCATAAACCACGCAGCCAACAACAGACACCTGTACACACACACACACACACACACACCCATGCACGCACACGCCGGCCCGTGTTGTGAGAATCCAACGGCAGGTATAATGCGATTGTGTTGTCTGTCATGACCTGAACTACTCTAATCAAATCACTCCCCCAGTGGTCCACACAGGCTGCCCCGGCGCCTCTGCCCCTCACCGCCTGTGTGCTCCCGGGGCTCAGGGCGCCTGCCGGCTGGAGCAGAACCTTCGCTGAGTGGAGCAGTAGATGAACGGAGGCTCCCAGGTCCTACTGCGTGGGCCGGACGGGAATCCTCAGGCTTTCTCATCAGAAGCACGGCTCTGCTTCCTGCTAGAAATGGTGGAGTCACTGAGAACGCACAGCTGCAGGCCCTGGGGACGCACCGAGGACAGACCGGCTTTGGACCACAGCAGCTCCTGCAGGCCAGGCTCAGGGCAGTCACTGTGACTCCTACAAAGGAGAGGGAGCCCGTGCTCCGGGTCCTGGGGTCGTCCAGCGAGGAACGGGCAGGAAGTGCCCAGTTCTCCGGTGTGACCCGACCTCGGGCCGAGCAGCTACCCCCCTGTCCCTCTAAGTGTCTCCGCTTGGGAGACCATCCTCCAGAAAGGATCTGTACCTGCAGTGGCCAGAGTTGGAGCCCGAAAACCTGGGCCTGCTCTTGCCATGACCTTGAGCAACCACTGAACTTCTCTGACCTTTGTCTGCCCATCTGCAAAATGGGGAAATACCGAAGCTTGAGTCATGCCCATGAGGCTTCTAGGATGGTGGCCAGCGCATTTCAAATGTTGTCAACTCTGCAGTGGAGTCGTGTCACGTGCACATTGCACTTGACACAGATTCTGCCACACGTGCTTCACGACAAAGAGAGATGAAGCAGAGGGGGAGATTCTGCTGGTGTTGGACTCAGCACGCCCATGGCCCAGGGACAGCGGGAGGCAGGAGACGCTGGGCTGTCCTCTGGCCGATGAGTCTCCTGCAGCATGAGAACAATTGCAACTATAAATGGTTCCACCGGTTGCCGGGAGGAAGATGCAGGATCAGGCCCCCTGGGACTTCGGCAGCTCCAATTGAGATGGAGGAGGTTCTGACCGCAGCGTAGTAATGGGGGTTCCCGGGGCACGGGTGGTTCTGTTACCGGAGAAATGCAGGGTTCTTGTCTTTGCACAAGAAAGAATTCAGGTGTGAGACAGAGTAGTGGAAAGTGAAAAGTAGCAAAGTTTATTAGGGTAGGGACATCCGCAACAACGGATGGGCACCTCTCTAGACAGGACCTGAGAGAGAGTGCCCGGTCTACATTTAGGCCGGGGTTTTTAAGGAGATGGGTCTCTGTCTTCACACATTTCCTCCTGAAACAAAGGATTTTATGGCTGTAAATATTAAGAAGCTCCTATCTGAGTTTTCCCTTGAAGGTATCAGACAGGAGGAAGCCTAGCTGGCGCCATCCTGGGTTCAGAGGAAGGGTGAGCAGGATCCCCTGGAGAATGGGGATCCTGAGCAGGGTGTTTGAAATGCAGACACTGGGCTGCATCTGGGAGATTGTGGAAGATTGTCAGGCAGAAGAGGCGGGACCTCCACCTGGCAGGTTATCAGGTAGAAGGGGCAGGGCAGGATGTGAACACTGGGCTGCCCCTGACACATTATCAGGATGACTTTGAGATGTAGATGCATATGCTGGATATAAAAGTCTTCTCTTTAGGCCTTTATGCCACACACACATAAGCTCATATCTAACTTCCTAACAGTTGTGTGCTCTAAAGGATGGTGGGCAGGGGCTGGTGCTGTGGTGTGTTGGGTTAAGCCGCTACCTGCAGCGCCAACATCCCATAAGGGCGCCAGTTCCAGTCCCGGCTGCTCCACTTCTGATCCAGCTCCCTGATAATGCACCTGCTACCCACATGGGAGACCCAGAAGCTCCTGGCTCCTGGCTTTGGCCTGGCCCAGTCCCAGCCATGTGGTCATCTGGGGAGTAAACCAGAGGATGGACGATGTCTCTCTCTCTCTCTCTCTCTCTCTCTCTCTCTCTCTCTGTGTGTGTGTGTGTAACTCTGCCTTTCAAATAAATAAATCTTTAAAATAAAATTTAAAAAGGATAGTGGGCAGCTCTATGACACTGACTGGGTCAGCCCTCAGGCAGACGAGTGAGACAGCCCTTCCAGCCCGCTAAAGGGGTCTGCTGCTCAGCCCGGAAGCCCTGCCAGCCCTCCGAGGTGGGGAGCAGCCCTTCTCTCCTCTGTCCTTGTCCTGGAACACTGTTTGTGACTGTCCATGCCTGAACTGCACCTCACCCCAGCATTCTCGTGGACGAGGCTATAGCTAGAAGACCTCTTGTTACGGTGTACCCTGCACGCAGAAGGCCAGAAAGCGATGGCCAGAGTGGGAGGTGGCAGCCGGTGGGGTGCCCATCCTGGGGCTCTGCTATTCAGCCCCTTTCCACAGCTGAAGAGCGAGTGACTGGCTGCTATCACTCTTTGAAACATTTAATTACGTGTAAAGATCTTGAAGGCTGCCTGTTACCTCCCAGGGAAAACGATCCCTTTTCCTGGCCCCTCTGAAGCCGGCTGCTTGGAAAGAAATGAAATTGGATTGAAGACGAAGCAACCTGGGCTGCAGGCATCCCAGAAAGGGGGGAGCAGCAGGAGAAAGAGATGGAAGGGCGACAGGAAGACGGGGGTGGCGGGGTGCGTGGGGTCAGGAAAAATATTCTTTTTTTTTTTTTTTTTTTGACAGGCAGAGTGGACAGTGAGAGAGAGAGACAGAGAGAGAAAGGTCTTCCTTTGCCGTTGGTTCACCCTCCAATGGCCGCCGCTGCAGCCGGCGCACCGCGCTGATCCGATGGCAGGAGCCAGGATCCAGGTGCTTTTCCTGGTCTCCCATGGGGTGCAGGGCCCAAGCACCTGGGCCATCCTCCACTGCACTCCCTGGCCATAGCAGAGAGCTGGCCTGGAAGAGGGGCTACCGGGACAGAATCCGGTGCCCCGACCGGGACTAGAACTCGGTGTGCCGGCGCCGCAAGGTGGAGGATTAGCCTATTGAGCCACGGCGCCGGCTCAGGAAAAATATTCTTGAAGAGTGAGGTGCAAGAGGCGTGTGGAATGGGGAAAGGGAAGGAAAGACAGAAATGGGAGCTGGGATGGGCTGGGGAGGCATGAAGAAGAGGGGTGGAGGGGCTGGCGCTGTGGTGCAGCGGGTGAAGCCACCGCCTGCAATGCCAGCATCCCATATGAGCGCTGCTTCAAGTCCCGGCTGCTCCACTTCCGATCCAGCTCTCTGCTGTGGCCTGGGAAAGCAGTAGAAGATGGCCCAAGTCCTTGGGCTCCTGCACCCGCGTGGGAGACCTAGAAGAAGCTCCTGGCTCCTGGCTTCGGATCGGTGCAGCTCTGGCTGTTGCGGCCATTTGGGGAGTGGACCAGCAGATGAAAAATGGTTCTCTCCCCATCCCTACCCTCTCTGTAACTCCATCCTTCAAAGAAATAATAAAATAATTTATTTAACTGGGAGTAGGGCAGACATTGGGCAGAATGGTTAAGACCTCACCTGGGACACGTGCATCCCATATCCGAGTGCCTGGGTCCCAGCCTCGCCTCTTCTGCTTGTGAGCCAGCTGCCTGCTACAGTGTACCCTGGGAGGCCGCAGGAGATGGCTCAAGTAGTTGGGAGATCTGGATGGAGTTCCTGGCTCCCAGCTTTGCCTGGCCATTGGGGGCATTTTGGAGAGTGAAATGGCAGTTGGGAGATCTGTCTCTCTCTCTTGCAGGCTGCGACAGCGACCACTGGGGCTCCCACTGCAGCAACCGGTGCCAGTGCCAGAACGGCGCCCTGTGCAACCCCATCACCGGCGCGTGCGTGTGCGCCGCCGGCTTCCGCGGATGGCGCTGCGAGGAGCTCTGCGCGCCCGGCACCCACGGCAAGGGCTGCCAGCTGCCGTGCCAGTGCCGCAACGGCGCCAGCTGCGACCCCCGCACGGGCGAGTGCCTTTGCGCGCCTGGCTACACCGGCGTCTAGTGAGTGCCGCGGGGGCGGGGCCGGGCTTGGGCCGGGGCAGGGGAGGTGAGGGCGGGGCCTCGGGAGGGCGGGGCCAGGGCCTGGGAGGGCGGGGCTCGCCTGGCTGCTGTGGCTGCTGGCCGAGAGGACCTGCTTGAGTTCCTTGCACGTGAGTCAGGGTGTGAGTAGTCCTGGTTGTGAACCTTCCTGAACTCTGACCTCAAGTCCGGCAGATTCCAGATGCCCGGACCTCGCCCACCTGGGGTCTCATGCCGGGGTGACGGGTCCTTCCTGAGTCTGCGTGGGTGGGCGCCCTGGTGACCAGCGGAGCTCATTAAACCCTTCCCGGAAGACCCCTCCTGGTCGCCTGCTTGGAATCCTCTTCTGATCGTAACCCGGGGCCTCCCCTTCTGGGCCACTGGGACCGAGAGAAGGGGCAGGCCCTGGGCATATGTTACGTGCCTGCCCTCTCTGACCTGCCTTCTCCCAGGCCCCAATCTGCCCCCTCGCTGCAGTTCCCTAGAAAGCTGGCGTCGCGGTGGCGGGGCCTCCAGGCCTCTGTAGCCTCCCCACCAGCCGCAGATCCTGCCAGGGGGCAGGAAGACTCTGACCAGGAGACTCCCCTGACCCGATATCTGGCCAGCTCCCCGAACCCAGGGAGTTAGAGGCCAGGACCATGGGCCAAAGCCCAAGGCCCAGACAGTGTGCCAGCCCGGCTCACCCCCCACCCTCCACATGGGAGCTTGGTGTGGTAGCTGTGCAGAGCTTGGAGGTGCACACCCCAGATTCCCCCTGCTCTGACTCTAGGCAGATTCTGGAAGTCAGAACCCACAGCTGCTTCCCAGTGCGTTTGTTCACGCTGTTCCTCTGCCCTGGCTTCCATTATCCTGGAGAAATTCACTTCACCTTCCAGGAACAAGTCAAAGGTCTCGCTCCCAGGGGAGCCTTCCTCAGCCTCCTCCCCAACAGAACGGTGGTGTCCTGCCTTCCCAAGTGTTGACCCAGGCACACCATTCCTGTGCATCCTGTTTGAGTCGGGCTTCCCTGGCAGGGGGCATGGCCACGCTTCAGCTGACCCTGTGCCCAGGGAGCCCCGGGGCGTCGGCCGGGGGCTGGTGGCACCGGGGCCCCACTAATGAGTCCCTCTGCTTCTCCATGTAGCTGTGAAGAGCTGTGCCCTCCCGGGAGCCACGGGGCCCACTGTGAGCTGCGCTGCCCTTGCCAGAACGGGGGCACCTGCCACCACATCACTGGTGAATGTGCCTGCCCCCCAGGCTGGACGGTAGGTGACCCTGCACCCACACTTACACACACCCCAGAAGGTGGGAAAAGGGAGATGGGACCCATAGCCTCGCAGGCCCAAGTTCTGGTCTCACATCTGGTGTTGACCATGACAAAGGCCTCCATTATTCCGATCTCTTGTTTCGTCACCTGCAGAGTTGGCCACCCTGCCCTGCAGAGCTGCCGTGGGTGGCGGGGGCCTAAGGGAAGGCCACGTGCATGCAAAGTGCACAGCAAACCCCAAAGCACTGTGCGGTTGTGTGTTTTGTATCCCTGGATGCCACGGGCCCCTACAAGCCTCCTTCTGGCCTGTACCCACCACCTGTCAGGGCCTGCCCCATGGCCCCCAGCCTGCAGCAGGAGCACTTTCGCCATGGCTGACTGTCCCGGCTGCCTCTGACTCTCCAGGAACATGCTCTGTCTTTGGAGGAAGTTCAATGCCACGGCTGGCTGCCTCCCCTGGGGCCTGAGGCTTTGCAGAGCCCCAGAGGGCAGTAGCAGGGTATCTCGGGAGGCTGTGAACTTGGAGGTCACAGCAGCAGACAGGAGGCATGCCGGCCACCTCGTCAGGATATTTTAGATCAGGAAAGGGCCCTTAGGGATCACCCGGTCTAGCACTGCTCCAACCTGGCTGCCCTCCAGAGTCCAAGAGGGGGATGGGGATTCCCAGGCTCTGCCTGAGACCTTCTGGGACCTGGGCTGTCTCTCTTTAATAAGCTCCCCAGACAGTTCCGCTGCAGCCGCGCTGTCTGCAGGTGTGTGTTTGGAAATAAAAGATTGAGGCCGTAGGATTTCCTGTGGATTTCACAGCCTGCTAGGGTTTGCAGGGTGTGAGGATGGGGGTGGGGAGCCTGATAATTAGCACTCGGGTGCCCACCCCACCTCCCACCTCTCCACTTGCTTCTGTTTTCCATCTGGAGGTTCTAGGTAAGATTTCACAGAAAAACAGGGCCTCCTGGCTTTAAAAGATCTGAGCACCCAAGGCCACAGTGCTGGTTAGGAACAAGGTGGAGCTGGAATCGGGCTGGTCTGGCTTCTGAGTCCCTTGATGTCCGTGTGTCTGGGTGTCTGGGCGTCTCTTCTGAGGAGGACAAAGGGGGCTGCTGCTGCCTCTCCCACTCCTGCCTGCTTCTCCCACCCCTGTCTCCGATCCGCCAGGTTCTGAAATCCATCCCAGCAGCAGGCAGAGAGGTGGGGCAGAATGTCAGGGGGCAGAAGAGGGCGGCAGGCAGCAGCGCCTGTCCCTGGCCAGGCCCCTCGGAGCCACGGCTGGGGCTGGAGGCTGCAGAGAGGGAGGGAGGAAGGCAGCCCCGGGGAGGGGCTTGAGTCTCCCCGGAGCAGCCAGGGCCTGTTCTTCCAGATGACAGGGAACTCTGTCAATAGACGCTCTGGGCTTGAGCACTTTATGTTTTTAATGTGATCGTAGACAATTGCATTTCTATTTTTGCCGTAGCATTTAACTTGCAGATTTGGATGAATTATTAATGTTCCTCATGCATGCAGAGTTGCAGAATAATGAAGCTGTGCTCCGGCCTCAGGCTCCTCCCAGGGAGGGCTGGGGCCGAGGAGCGGGTACGGGGGGAAGAGTCTCACCCCTGTATTGTCTTGCATTGCCTGACTGTCCCATTAGCCCACTCAGAGGTCTAAATGCCATTGCTAACTCCCACCGTGCACCCCCAACAGACTGGAACCGTGCAGGGAACTTCACAGGGGCTGCTGGGGACTCGGGCCAGAGACTCCTGGCCCCCAGCCCTAGGAAAGCCCACAGACCCTCTGCTGGCCAGCTGTGGGGAGCCCACTCCACAAGGGGCCTTTGCAAAGAGCCTGGGCAATCATTTCCCCTCCTTTGCTGGGCTCTGAGTCCTTTTGAAAGAGAGAAGCCAGGTGTGATCAGTGCGATGCTAGCAGGTGCTAGAGACAGACGGCAAGGTATGCAGTGGTGGGAGGCACTTCCCTTAGGGGCTCCCAGCCTGATGGTGGAGGCTGGACATAGTGTGTGGGTGTGCACACACAGGTGCATACACAGGCTTACACACAGAGGCACAGTCTCACGCATACAGACACACGCAAAGGAAGCAACAGGCCAGAAGAGAAACAGGGCCGGGGAGCCAGCACTAGGCCAGTTGGTGTGGAGGGACCAAGCGCTTTCCGGAGCTGAGGCTATGGAATCGGGGGTGCTCAGGTTTGGGAAGGAGCCTGCCTGTGATCCGGATGCCTCCACAGCGCCCACACTCACCGCTCTGCACCGTCCAGCCAGCGCGTCCGTGCCTCCGGGGCTGGCGGCAGTGGGAGGAGGGCCTGCTGATGCTGGAGGAGACTCGAAGCCCATGATGCGGGCACACTGGCCTGGCCTCACGTCCCCTCCCCTCGGCATCCTGGCCCCTCCTCTCCTCTCCCATGTGGCCATGGCTTTGGGATTTGGACCCACCCTGGGCTCCCCTGTATCAACCTTGCCCCTGCCAAGCCCGCCTTGCTCCTGCCGCTGAAGACACACACTGAGCAGGGCGCAGGGGTTAGGGTCTGCCTGCCTCTCCTCGGTCCTGCAGGCCCAAATCCCAGATCCAGGTACCAGCAGGGGCGTCTCATAGGATCTGGCTAGGTGTCTTACCCGTCCTCCCTCTGGGGGTCCATCTTAATCTCCTGGGCCTTGGATCCTGCACCCCAGTGTGACCCCCTTCTAACTGGGTGTCCTCCGTGGGGGCGCTGGGTACTACAGAGTTAGGAATTCCACGTGGGAATCTGAGGTTCCCCCGTGCAGCAGGTGGGAGCAGGGGGGACGCTGTAGGGCACAGCCCTCTCGGGAGCTGAGCCCCCCTGCCTGCTCACCTGCCAGCAGGCACTGAGCACTTCCTGGTTCACGCTTCTTTCGGTCCCAGCCTGCACAGGCCTTCTACCACGTGCCACCCCCTTCGGTGTCAACTGGTTTTGATTATTATCAATGTAGGGCCCACTTTTCATTCCCTAACCCCAAGAGCCCCTGGGAGACCAGGGGTTTCCATCCCATTTTATAGATGAGAAGACTGAGGCTTGGAACAATCACATGACTTGTCCCAGCTTGGCCATGGCGAGAAGCCAGAGCTGGGATGTGACCCAGGCCCTGCCTTTGAGCCCACTGTTCTCTCCTCCCCAGGCGGGCAGCAGGACTTCTGAGGGGCCCAATTCTCCCAGGCCCAGGGGTTCAAGCCCAAGGAGGGGCCTGGAGATCCAGTTTGGGAATCCTGAGCAGGGGCTCAAAAGTGTTCGCCCACCAGACCCAAAAGTCTCAGGGACGCTTGGTTCCCCTGGGGCACCTTGGGAAGAAGCGATCCTGCACCTGGCTCTCCTGCAGGCTTCCGTGTGTGTGTGAGTGTGTGTGTGTGAGTGTGTGTGTGTGAGTGTGTGTGTGTGTGTGTGTGCCAGCTGCCTCCCCGGACATGAGCACTCCTCTCGACCCCGCCCCTCACCCACCCTGCTCCCACCCTCCCTAAGCTAACAGGCCTCCCATTTCATTCATTACAAGGAAATTGGATGATCATGATGGATGACTCTGGCCTGGGCAGGATTTTGCCAACTAAACCCGCCTTGTCAGGGTTAGCGGTTATTGGTGCTTAAAAACCGTGAGCTGCACTAATTGATTCATTAATTGGCGGCTCCTCCTTGACCTCCATAAGAGAAGTGACTGTGTGTGTGTGTGTGTGTGTGTGTGTGTGTGTGTGTGAGTGGCTGGAGGGCAGCAGGAATTGGGACCTATGTCGTGGATATATGATTTTAAAAGTTGAAGAATAGCTCTGTGGGCGGGGCCATAGGGAGAGCATCCCCCCACCACCCCGTTCACAAATCCCACCCTCTACAGGCAAGCAGCCCCAGTCTTGAAGTGTTTCTTCCAGCATTCTGTGTTTGTCTTCACGGATTTGAAAGGCACAAAGACACAGGGAGATCTTCCTTCTGGTGCACTGCTGGGCTGAGCCGGGCTGAACCAGGTCTGCCATGGGGGTGGCAGGGCCCCAAGCACTCGAGCCCTCCCTGCTGCCTCCCAGGGTATGCATGAGCAGGAAATGGAGGCGGGACTCGAACCCCGGCACTCTGATGGGGGATGCTGGCCTCTACAGCGCTGTCCTCACCACTATCAAATGCCCACCTCTCGTACTGGCATTCCTCTCCACCTTTCTAGATAACCCGCTTTTAAAAATATTTATTTGTTTAATTATTTGTTTGAAAGGCAGAGTGACAGAGAGATCGTCCATCCGCTGGGTCACTCGCCAAATGTCCACAACAGTCAGAGATGGTTGCAACTCCCTCTGGGTCTCCCACATGCATGGCCAAGGTCAGGGTCTTGGGCCATCATCTACCGCCTTTCCAGGCACATTAGCAAGGATAAGCCAGGACTCGAACTGGTGCCCAGGTGGGATTCAGGCGTCACAGACAGCACCAGAGTGCCGGCCCCTAGGTCACATCTGCACTGCCGCCTCTTGCCTTTTTCATTTCTGAGGTCCGTTGACTTCCTGCTGTAGAATCAGGTTCTGTGCTCCCACACACGGGTGCCAGCACCAGCAGCCCTCCCCCACACTCCCAGCAGAGCGACTACAGGTTTTGGTTAGATTTTCTCGTAGCATCTATGTGAAGAGGCCCACGTCCCTGCACTCTGGCGGGATGCTGAAACTCAGACCCGCCGCAGCTCTCTCCATTCCTTGTCTGCTTTTGCTCTAGTTGTGAGGCGGGGCTGTCGGAAGCCCGGTGCTGTGTCCCCATCTGAGCTCTCTCGCCCCAGGCTGTTGCCTGCCCACCTGCCATCTGGGACTCTCACTTTCATCCTAGGCTGCCTCTCGCCTCGGTCTTGGATTCTCTAATTCCTGGAACCTGTGGCTTTCTTTTGAGTAATTGTTGCTGGTAGGAAAAGAAAAATCTGCCAGTAGCTTCCTGAGACGATGTCTGGAGGCCTGGGGCTGCTGCAGTGGCGCAGCAGGCTGGGCTGCCCTCGTGACGCTGGCGCCCCGTACTGGGATGCTGGGTCCAGTCCCAGCTGCTCTGCTTTAGGTCCAGCCTCCTGCTGCTGCACAAGGGGAGGCAGCAGATGAAGGCGCAAAGACTTGGGCCCCCGTGAGAGGCCTGGATGGAGCTCTGGGCTTCTGGCTTCTGCCTGGCCCAGTCCTGGCTGTTGCAGCCATTTGGGAAGTGAATGAGTAGATGAAAGATCAATCAATCAATCTCTCTCTCTCTCTCTCCCTCTCCCTCTCTCTCTCTCTTTGTGTTCCTCTCTCTGTTATTCTGCCTTTCAAATCAATAAATAAATCTAAAAATAAAAATACATTTTTCCCAGGCTCTTCAAATCTGAAAATGTCTTCATTGACTCCCCCAGCTGGATGTTAGTTTAGCTGGGTGTAGAATTCCACAAAGAAAATGATTTTTCTTCAAAATCTTTAAGGCCCCATTATCTCCTAGCTTCTACTTAGCAAGTCCAATTTTGACTCCTGATTTTCTTTCTGACTCTTTTCCTCTTTCTAAGAACTTGAAGGATTGTTTCTTTGTGCAGACATAAAAATCCACAGTGCTGTGCAGGTTTTGGCATCTGGTTGGTTTATTTTTCTGGATACTCCGTAGGCCCTTGCAGTTCAGAAATCCACGCTTTCCAGCCTGGGAGTTTTTCTTTTATTAAATTCAAGTTATTCACATCTATTCCCACTGTCCCACTGTGTGAGACCACTGTTAAGTAGATGTTAGACCTCTTGGATTAGTCCTCAAGTTATATTACATTTTCTCTATTTTTCTCTCTCTCTTCTGACTTTGTAGATTTCTCCCACTTTATTTCCCAGCTCTTCTATTTCAAATCTCAAATTTCTTCTACCTGCTTTTTCATTGTCAAGATCCAGATTTCTTCTTTTGTAGAACTCCACTCTTCCATGGACATAACGTTCCTTATCACTACGTGAGGAGACTTGTCTTAGTTATGGTAGAAGTTTTCCTCCTTCGCCTTTAAATTAGAGAATTAGAGAGGGAGTGGGTGAGGCAGAGAAAGATCATCCATCCACTGGTTCACTCCCCAGATAGTCACAATGGCCAGAAATGGGCCAGGCTGTAGCCAGGAGCCAGGAGCTTCATTCAGGTCTCCCGCACGGGTGCAGGGACCCAAGCACCCTGGCCATCTTCCACTGCTTTCTCAGGTACATAAGCAGGGAGCTGGATCCAAAGCGGAGCATCCGGGACTAGAACAGGCACCATATGGGATGCTGGGTCACAGGCGGTGGCCCCTACCTGCTATGCCCCTCGCCTCTCTTTTTAGGTTTGCTTTGGTCCTTATTTCCACTGGATTCCTTGTGTGCATTGTGTGTTTCTATTCTCACCCTTCCTGTGAGAGTCCCTTCAGGGCCCTCTGCTGGGGTTTTACTGAGAGCCTCAGGAAAGCTGGGTGGGAGCCTGGGGAGGAGGGAGACACCGGCCTGGGCGACGCCTGGGACACCTGAGCGTGGTCTCCTCTCGAGCTATCAGTACCTCTAGAGAGGAACCCAGAACCCCACACAGGGAGTGTGGCCTGGCGGTGAGCATCCTGGGAGCTGAGCAGGGAGAGACAGAGGGGCCGTGGCTCAGCAGGTAGAATTCCACCTGACCTCAGCCATGCCTGTGTCCACAGCCCGTGGGCGCCGCACCTGCAGAGGATGGAGGCACTGCCAGGCTGTGTGAAGAGAGGCGGGGGTCTGGGGTCCAGCTCACTCTCGCATACATTTCCCAACAGTCCCATTCTCACCACCCCCTGGCCTTCAGAGGGTCCTGGTCTCTGGTTCCAGAGCTTTCCTGGGTAACCAAGGACCCCGCCCCCCACACCATGAAGGTTTCCCACTCCCTTTGCCTGCTCCTCTGTCCGGCCTGGCAGGTGTACGCCTTCCACCCTTGCCCTCGTCTGTGCTGGTGCAGGGAGGGGAGAGGTGGAGCTCGGTGTGTGTCTCCACCCCGGCACCAGGCGCTTCCCTGTGCCAGAAGGCTCAGCGCCTTGTCGGCAGATGGGACGACAGCAAGCAAGGAGACCTTGGGGTTGGCAGCCCTGGTCTCTTACCACAACACTGGGCACACAGCAGGCACTCACTGCAGTGTGCCCGAGGACTGGCCTCAGTCTTCCCATCTCTAAGGTGGGGCCATGGTGCTCAGTTCTCTGTGCTTCCACCGCGAAGAAGGGGGCCAGCCACGGTGCCATTCCCAGACACGTGTGGCTTTAGCGTGGCCTCTCTGGAGCAGCCCCATGAATATCTTATCACCTGTCTTTCAGGGAGCTGTGTGTGCCCAGCCCTGCCCTCCAGGGACCTTCGGCCAGAACTGCAGCCAGGACTGCCCTTGCCACCACGGAGGGCAGTGTGACCATGTGACTGGACAGTGCCACTGCACAGCCGGCTACATGGGCGATAGGTAAGGGCGGGCTAACTGCTGCCTCCATTTTCCAGCTTGCTGCAAGCCTTCTGTCCCCTCCCCCGGCTTTCTCCTGCAGGTGGCGGTCACCAGCTCACCCGCCCTCGCCCTCCGCCTGCTAGGCACACTCCTCCCCAGCCCAGCCCAGCCCAGCCCGGCAGCTCAAGCCCCCAGGGGAGGAGACCAGCACCTGCCGCCCACTCTGCGCTAACGGAGGGGTGATGGCAGGGGCAGCCCTAAGAAGCTGAGAGCGCACAGTCCCCACGCTCTGTGCCATTTCTTCTAGAAGTGGATTTTCATTCCTAATTTGGGTTGTGCCAGAAAGTTATGGACATCAGTGGGCAGACCCTGAGGGCCCGTGGCCTGGGAGCTGATGCACCCACGTCCTGGAATGAAACCAGCCTGGCAGGGTGGCTAATCCACAAGGCACCCTGGGAGGAGCTGCCACATGTACACACTGGCCACAGTCAGCAGCAGGAAGCCACGTGGCAGGGTAGGCGTGGTGGCAGGGGAAGGAGCATCCACCCACGTGTCTGCTGGTGAGTGCCTCTGGGGCTGGAGGAGGCCCTTGGCCCCTGGAGCCCCGGCCACCTCTCCTCGTGTCTCAGTCACGTGAGTTCCTTCCAGCAGAGAAAGAGACGGCGAAGAGGAGGCGCTCACGTCCCTTGCCTGGTTCCATGGGGACCGTGTTTTACATCCCCCTGCCTGGATTGCGTTACTCTTCCCACAGTGAGATGAAAAGAGCACTGGTTCACCATCCCCTGGCCTCCCCGGCCAGGGTGACATCAGAGAGCAGGGATCGAGGCTGAGTCAACCCATGTAGCTTTGTGGCTCTGATGGATGCACGCGGGGCACCCCCAGCTCACACTGGAACCAGCCTTGCGACCGTGGTGATGTCCAGAAAACAGAACGGCCATTAGCCTTGGGCTTGCTTGCCTTCAGCCTGAAGGCTTTGGTGCCAGAGCTGATCTCTTTGCAGCCTGAGTTCATCGCGTGAGCTTCCCTGGCCCTGAGCACCTTCCCATCCTCGCCACGGCCTCCAACCAGGGAGATGCTCCCGATGCACGACGCAGGGACAGGATCTGGGAAGACACAAAGCAGAGCAGGACCCACTTGTCCCAGTCACTTGCTTATGACGGGAACACAGCCCGTTTCTTGTTGGGGACCAACAGCGGACGCTACCTCATTGGTGCTCTCGAGTTCACTGCCAAGGCGTCCTTAATGAAGACATAAGCCCAAATCCCTCTTTGTGTTGGAGCCTGGCCCGTGATCCCGGGGCAGAGAAACCCCCAAGGCCAAGGGCCCTCCAGCCAGCTTCGCCAACCAACCACAGGAGAGTCCCCTCCGAGGGCTGGGTAGCATTTGCGTTTCCCACCGAAGCGGACTGCCTGGTGTTTAATATTTTGTAAAATTGCCTCCATTAATTTTGTAGGTGACAGCTGCATTAAGCCACCCCAAATCATCGCGAGCATATTAAACTTGAGCGGGCATAATAACACAGGCCTCCCCGGATAGGCAGAATCCAGCGCAAATTAAACACGAAACGTAAGAAGGGTTGTGCAGCTCATTTTGTAATTTAATTGAGCAATGTATCTGCTTGTTAATGGCAATATCGGACACATTAGATTGATATGTTGCAAAGGAAGGATGTTTAAGTAGAGAACTAATGCCTGCTGTGATTGCCCCTCTGTTCCGCAGGCCCCGTTATTAGCGTGCTTTGTGTAAAATTCATTAGCAGTCCTTGCTTGATCTCTAAATAAATAAGTTGTTTAAATGGTGAGTAGGAAACAAAAAAGCGGCTGTTTATGTAAATGGATTAGCTTGTCAATATTTCACCTCCAGATTCTTTTTTCTGGGGCTGTGGATTTGGTCACCCCAAAAATAAGGTGGCGTGGGGAAGTGCCCGGGCCTGCTGCCGGGCAGGGCGAAGGGAGGGAGCAGCAGCAGGTGCCTCCGGGTTGGCGCCTTCCTCTCCTGGCCTTGAGGTGAGCGAAGCTCAGGGGCTTCGGGGCAACAGGAGTTGGCGCTTGCACTGTGCAGGCCTGCAGCTGCTTTGCGTCCTCCTGTTCTGCCTCAGTTTCCCCCCTCCCCCGGCCTCCCCCCTCCTGTCTTCCACCTCCCATTCCTTCTCCAGACTCCCCCTTCTTCCCTTGTTGTGGTGGTGGGGGGAGCCTTGGCCTTTGCGGAACACCATCTGGGTCATCGTGGCCACCTGCCGACTGTGGGAGCCTGAAGCCGTCGCCCTGGCCTGGCTTGCCCGTGCCTGCTCAGCCCCAGGGGGGAAGGGGACAGGGGTTTGTGCCACCTTAGGGGCCGGGGCCAGGCTTTGGGGCCTGGGCCCTGTCTGTACAGCCTGAGCCGTTGGCTCCAGTGCCCCTGCCACTCCACCATTCTGCCAGCTTCCTCTGCCACCGTGGCTCTGAGAGGACAGAGCCAATGGCATCGCATTGTGCAAGGAAGGAAGCTGCCAAGCCCAGGCGCCGTCACTGTCCTCCTTCCCGGCCACTCCAGGCACACAGCAACCAAGGCAGAGAAGACAGGGCGGGAGCCACACTCTGGAGCCGCCCCAGCCGTCTCCGATAATGAAGCTGCGGCTGGATCTCTTAAAATACTTCCGGTCGTCCCTGCCCTCCCAGTTTTTGTAGAAGACATACAAGGGGGCCTTCCAACAGGGCACGGAGAATGCCTACAACAAAGAGAAGACCAATGGAGTTCAAAACATTTTTGCCCCAAAATAAACTTAATTTAAAAAAAAAAGAAAAAGATTTTTTTTTGAAAGGCAGAGTGACAGAGAGAAGAGAGGAGAGAGACACCCAGGAGCCAGGAGCTTCCTCCAGGTCTCCCACGTGGGTGCCGGGGCCCAAGCACTCGGGTCATCCTCTGCTGCTCTCCCAGCTGCATTAGCAGGGAGCTGGCTCGGAAGTGGAGCAGCCTGGATTCGAATCAGAGTCCCTGTGGGATGCTGTTGTCTCAGACAGCCAACCCACTGCACCCCATCATCTCATTCCATTTCTCCTCAAACCTTTTGAAGTATTCTCACGCAGAGCAGCAGAAAAAATGGAGAGGTGTGGCCATTAAAACACTTCCAATGTGAGGCCCGCACTGTGGCGTAGCAGGCTAAAATGCAACGTGGTTTCTGTATTGCCAAGAAAGCAAGACACCAAGAAGCCAAGATACGCCATCCGCTCTCGGGCGGACTTGATTTCCAAGATGTTCAACTCCAGCTCCGAGACACCAGGTGCATGGTATCCATGGGGAGAGCTCTGTTTAGGAAGAGGAAGGAGCTGTGGTGATGGACGGGGTGGTGGCCGCGCCACGCAGTGAACCACTCACTGCCACGGAGGTACCGGTTCAGCACTCCCACTGGGACTTCCCTGTCGCGTCTCGTCCCAGGCCATGTGTGCTGCTGCACCAAAGCCCCAGAGCCCGGGGTGTCTATGGACAACACAGTTATTCTCACAGTCCTGGAGGCTGCCGGGTCCTGGACCAAGGCGCCAGCAGGTTCTGGGTACAGCGAGGGTCCCCCACCCCGCGCGCCGGTCTGCTTCCATGATGGCACCTCCAGTGTTGTGTCCTCACGTGGCAGAGGGGTGCAAGGCCAAAAGAGAGAGCTGGCTGGTCTCTGCAGCCCTCCCAGGATGAGTCTGTTCACACGGCCCGCCTTTCTGGGCCTGTGGCACTGGGGGTTACTCTGAACCTCACAAACATTCAAACCCCAGCAAGTCTTTATAACAGCAATAAAAAAAGAGTGAAACAAAACAGTTTGCAGTCAGTGAAACCGGGTAATACAAACTCCTGGCTGGGGTACTAAGGAGACCTGCTACAGAGAGAACAGACCCAATTGAGCTAAGCCCTGGCTTGCTTCCTGGAGGAGGAGGCCATGGCGGTGGAACACAGCAGGCCCAGGCCTGCGGGCAGGGAGGGGTGCATGCTGGGGGGATGTCAAAGGGCAGGTGAGGGAACCCCATCCACAGCTCAAGCTCAGCCCCTCTGCTGTCTCACAGGTGCCAGGAGGAATGTCCCTTGGGGACCTTCGGCTTCCAGTGCTCGCAGCGCTGTGAGTGCCACAACGGTGGCCAGTGCTCCCCCACCACTGGAGCCTGTGAGTGCGAGCCCGGCTACAAGGGCCCGCGCTGCCGGGAGCGGCTGTGCCCCGAGGGCCTGCACGGCCCGGGCTGCGCCTCGCCCTGCCCCTGTGACGCCGACAACACCGTCAGGTAGGAGAGGGGACCGGTGCGGCCGAGGCAGGGTGGGCTCGGGTGTGCAGGGGGGTGCTTCGTGGGCCATGGCCCCCCACTCCAGCACAGCCCTCCAGACAGGCCCTCAGCTGCCAGCCCACTGCTGGGGAAGGAAGCCGAGGCCATACGTGGAGACAGGACCGGAGCCCAGGCCACCTGCCGCTGCCCCCACACCTGGCTGCCTGCATCTCAGGGTGTGTCCATCGGAGCTATCACATACGAAGCAGGGGGTGTGCACGGGGACCCCCGAGGGAGCGGGGGTGGGCTAGGCCCGGGCTGTCCGGTCCTGGGGCCTGTGCTTGCAGGGCTCCGGGTGCCCACGCTCTGGGGGCATTGTCCTGGAAAAGCACCTCCCCCCTCCCGCACACACGCAGCAGATAGCCGGGGTCGGGGCCACACGGGCAGAATGAGGGGCTTGAGCCACACAAGGTCGGTCTTGGGACTCTTCATGGCCTCTCCTGGGACCTAGGGAGGGATGCCCCCCCCCAGCTTCCAGCCAAGGTGGAGGCAGAGGAGAGAGAGTCCTTCATCAGAGCCTTGGTGCGGGGCGAGCATTCTGTGGCCTTTGGGGCTTGGGGACACCTGGGCAGGCACTGGCTCCACTCCGGCTTCCAAAGGAGCCTGACTGTGGAGCCGAAGCCGCCCTGGGCCGCCCCTTTTCCTGCTCCATGGCGCAGTGGGCAGTGCCCTTGGGTCAAGGCCCCCACCTGGTGAGCACTGGGAGAAGATTCCCTTCTCCCCTGGGCTACTGGGCAGCTCGGGGCTGTCGGCAGGAGCTGCTGCCATTTGCAGGACACGGGTGGAGCGCGCCCCTTGGCCAGCAGCCCTGCTCCTGGGGACTGCCACGCCTCAGCCTCAGCCCCTCCGCATCTCCAGCCTTTGTTTCCTCATAAATCACATGGAGCCTCCGGGAGTCACAGGCAGAAGTGTCTCATGTGTGTGCAGCTTCACCCACGATGGCCCTGGGTCCCCGGGGCCCAGCGGCTGGGCTGGTGCCAGGCAGGCGCAGCCAGCAGAGCTGGCCTGGATATGGCCTATGCATTCACTCAGTCATTCATTCAATAAACTGAGTGCCTGCAGGGTTGGGCTGTGAGGAACTGTAGCCACTGGGGGCTCGGGGCTGGTCAGGGAAGACTTCCTGGAGGAGGTGGCATGTGGGTTGGGTTTAGAGGGCAGGGTGAAAGCTCCAAGGTGCTTTAACACCAGAGACCCACGTGACCCATCCCCTGCTGGGAAGCCGTGGGCTTTTTCAGGCCCAGGAAGCAAGGCTGCTGCTGGGGTCCAGCTCAGGCAGGGTCCCTACCCCTGAGATCCAACCAAGCCCCAAATCACAGAGCTGCCGCTGTCCTCCCGTGCCTGCACGGCTGGGCTCGGCGCGATGTCTGCTCCCTCTGACGGACTCCTCACTGCATTATTCATCTGCAGGACTCCCTCTTCCCCATCGCTAATCTCAGCCCATCCAATATTAATGAGTGTTTGCTTTGCCGTCTTTAACGCCTGTCACGTCGGTCGGTCGCGGGGAGGGGAGGCAGCGGCGGTCCCAGCAGCGGCTCCCAGCAGCGGCCGGCGAGGAGCTCTGTAGCTGCCTGGGCTCGCGGAGGACGCGCCCGGCTTGCCTGCCTCTGCAGCCTGCAGGCTCAGCACGGGTGAAGGCGGTCTCCCAGCTCAGCCTCAACAGCCCCGCCCTCAGTGCTGATGGCTGCGCTTTTTTTTTTTTTTTTTAAGATTTATTTATTTAGTTGAAAGTCAGAGGTACATGGAGAGAAAAGGTGAGGCAGAGAGAGAGAGAGAGAGAGAGAGAGAGAGAGAGATCTTCCATCCACTGGTTCACTCCCAGTTGGCCATAACGGCCGGAGCTGTGCTGATCCGAAGCCAGGGGCCAGGAATCAGGAGCCAGGAGCCTCTTCTAGGTCTCCCACGTGGGTGCAGGGGCCCAAGCACTTGGACCATCTTCCATTGCCCTCCCGGGCCACAGCAGAGAGCTGGATTGGAAGTGGAGTAGCCAGGACTCAAACCAGTGCCCAAATGGGATGCTGGCACTGCAGGCCATGGCTTTACCCCCTGCACCACAGCGCCGGCCCCGCTACTTATTCTCTTCCTCCTGGCACACTGCCCCAGTGCCCGAGCCCCTGACAGCCCCCAAGTGTGTGGTCGGGTCCAGCTCAGGGTTGCTCAGCCCGGCACCCGGGAGCATCTGGGGCTGGCTGGCTGGTGTGCCGTGGAACGGTCAGTAGGACCCCGGCCCACTGGAAGCCAGAAGCCAGTAGCAGCCCTCCGTCCCCCGCCCACATCGGACACCCAAATGTGGTTCCAGGCACAGCCAAGTGTTGGGGAGGCTGAGAGCGCTGGCCTGGCGGAACTCCCTCCTGCCGCACTTGGCTTAGCGCTCGCGGACATGGGGACAGGGCTCCTCCCATCCCCAGTGTGGGTCCTGGGTGTCCGCTCTCTTCCCATGAGCCTCTGCCCCATAACGGAGCCTTCTCTTGGGGTCTGAGGAAAGCACAGGCATGACTTCATGACTCCTAACCACAAGGCAGGAAAGTTGTGGCCTCGGACCTCCCAGGTCTAAGCAGGTGTCTGCCATGTTTCTCCCCTCCGTGCCTCAGTTTCCCAATGTGCTCATCCCTTTCATCAGCCCAGGGCAGGAAAGTCCTTTGGTAGTGAGGACTCCATCCCACTCCCCACGAGCTGGAGCATGAGGTCCCTGGAAGCTTAGCCTCACCCTCCCACCCCAGCTTCCTCAGAGCGGGCCGCCCTGCCCCCCGCCACGGAGCCCTGAGCTCTCCCCGACCCCCAACCCCAGAAAGCCCTTCCCCGCCAGCCCCTGCCTCTCTCTGCCATGCCCTGGGGAGGCAGAGGTGGCTGTGCCTGTCCCCAGCACCTCACTCCCTTTGTCAGCTCTCTGCAGCACACACAAAGGAGCCACTCTGCCTCCTAAAGCAATAACCTTGAGAATGAGCGAGCCTGTGTGTCAGCCTCTCGCTCGTCCCCTCCGCTGTCGGAGGTCACAGACCAATTCCAGCAGCCGGGACCATGTATTACCTGGGAGAGATTCCATTCCGCCAACAGGCAGTGTTGATAGAATCCCACAGTGGCCACGAGAGAGGCAGAAAAACCCACTCTGAAAAGATTCCTGCATTGTTCCGTCTCCCTTCCTATTACCTGGTGATTAATCTGTGTCTGGGGAAAAGAGGCACACAAAAAAAGGGGGGGGGGAGGGAAAAAAAAAAGAAAAGCAGGAAGAATGGAAAAAGCCTAAACACCAGTGACTGTGACTTTCGCCTGAGCCTCACCAGCAGTCTCTGGCTGGCTGTGGGAGCCAGGGAACGGGGACAATTTGGGGGGAGGCCAGGACAAGGGGTGGATGAGTCCCCTGCTGAGGGACACAGTAATCAATCCAAGAAAATGGATGCCCTGTGCTTAGATAGAATCGCAGGGAGCGGGCATTGGCCTAGCGGTTAAGACTTCCTATCTCATGTTGGAGTACCGGGGTTCGAATCCTGGCTCCAGCTCCTGACTCCAGCTTCCTGCTCATGCAGACCCTGGGAGGCAGCCCCTGCCACTCATGTGGGAGCCCTGGATGGAGCACCCATTCCCAGCTTCCAGTTCTGGCCCCTGCCCAGCCTAATCCCGATCTTGAGAGACTGGAGAGTGAACCAGCAGATATGTTTCTCTCTCTCTCTCTCTCTCTCTCTCAATAGATAAACAGAAAAAAAAAATATAATTGCAGGGACATGAAAGGAGAAGGAAAGGCGTGATGTCCAATGTGGTTTGAGCCTCGGAGTATAAAGTAAAATTAGCAGGTCGACATGCCCCTCGGCCACCCCCACCCCCACCCCCGACAGCCAAGGGCGCAGGTGGGAAACGCAGGGCACAGAGGCGTGCTCTGGGCATGCCGCAGGCCTCTTGCAGGGTGCTATGAGAGCCGCCCCAGGCGAGCATGGCAGAGAGAGCCTAGGGGGCCATCAGTGGGGAAGGCAGAAAGGTACCTGCATCCTTTCAGGATCGCTGGGGCTGAACAGAGCTGACCAAGACCTGTCCGGTCATTCCTGGGTCCCAGCAGGTCAGCCTTGGTGACCTTGACTGAGCCAATGTCTCTAACCCTAAACCTCAAGGGAGGCCCCTGGAAAGCGGGAACCCGGCTGAGGGCCAGGGCCCCCGAGTGGAGTCTCTGCCCCACGGCCCCGCTCGGGTGGCCAGGCAGCTGTCACCCGCTTACAGCGCTCGGGGCTCAGGGAGGACTTTTCCTGGAACCGTGAAGGGCAGAAAGTCTTCCAACACTTGTTCTTCAGCCTCCTTCTTCGCTCTGCTGTATTTGCCATTTTTACTGCTGAACATCTAATTGTACATATGATGGATGCTCAGTTTGGGCAAGTTAGATGGCACAGACATTACAAAGAACCCAACAGAGTCACTCAATTTCTCAACCTGAGACAAGCACTAAAGTCATCCTATTGCCATTTGTTCCTCCTTCGTGTCTGTACCTCATCCACCATCTTTTGTTCAGATGGTGACTTTGCATAGTTGTGGCTAATTTCACTTGACCGTCTATCAGGAAGGACTTTGAAAAGCAGTCGCTTCCCGTGGATGGCCCTGGCTCGCTTTCCCGGGATCCCGTCGTCAGAGGCGGCGTAAGGCAGTGGACCGGTAGATAAGGCGGAGTAAGGGTTGGACTCCCAGCTCTGCCATCCCCTGGCTTAGCCGTGTGCCCTTGGGCAGGTCCCATCACCTCCGGGTGCCATCTGTAACCTGGAGATGCGCACGCCTCCTTCGCAGGCTTATTGAAAGACGAGAAATCCGTGTAGAAGAAAGTGCCTGGTGCTTTAATAGCCTCGTCGCACATTATTTATTATTATTCAAATTGCTTCCATTTTCCACTGTTATAAATAATGCCTCCGGGAACATCTCTGGGCATAAATCTTTCTCTGTCAGCGCGATGCTTTCCTGAGGTCAGATCCTTAGAAATGGAAGTCCAAGACCAAAGAGGGAACGCATTTAGGTCTCCTGAGACAGAACCCCAAATTGTTGTGAAACCTCTGCCAGCACTTTTTGAAAAACCCTCACTGTTTTGAGGGCAAAAGAGCGGTACCCGACTGCTGTTTTGACTTGATGATGAACGAGACGCAACGTTTTCCAAAAACCATTATTAGCTGCTTGCTTTTACTATTCAGGAATTATCCGCGTCTGTCCACCCCCTCACTTCCTATGAGAAGAATCAGGGCCCCCAGATGAGAAGCAGCTTGGCCAGGCTTCATACAATTAGTTTGTTCATTAATTCATTTGCCAAATATGTGTTAAGCACTTCCTGAGTGCCAGGAGCCCTGCTGGGTCCCAGAGGTAAAGCAGAGAGAGGCAGGGCTCTCCCCAGGGGGCTGCAGCCTGGCAGGGGGTACAGATGCAAAACCATGGACAGACACAGAAAATAATTGTGTCCTGAAAGCCATATTCATCCACAAATACCTAATCAGGCAGGCGTGTGAGCCGGTCCACTGGGGATCCACCAGCGAACCACAGCCAAAGCCCCTGTCCTCATGGAACTTAGTGGAATGAGGCTGGCACCCAGCTCCTCCCGCCAGCTCCAGGCAGCTTCCCTTGCCCACTCCTCTTAGCTGGTGCCACAGGGAGTCAGAAGTGGGTCTGTAGCATCCAGCACCTTCTCTGGTGTGTCTGTCTGGGCCAAGAGCAAGAGATTGACTTGGGGGGAAATGGGGCAGCAGCTGGGGTGACAGGGAGCTGTGAGACCACCATTCAGGTCTGACTCACAGGAAGGAGCCAGGGAGGGCGGGGCGGGAGCGTCTTGGTCCGTGGCATGGTTCTAAGAAGGCTTGACAAGATAGGGAGCGTTGAAGTGATGGTGTCCATCAGAGGGACCCAGGAGTGAGCCCACCTGAGCAGCTGGGCTCTGCCCACCAGGGAGCACCTGCTGAGAGATGTGGCCTCCAGACTGCAGGCCCAGCAGCTGGGGCTGGGTCAGTTATGCTCTGGAGGGGATTCTGAGCAGCCCTTGGTCACCACACCTCATACCCCCTGATCGCGAGGGGCCATTGATTGGCTGTTGACTCAGAGGCTGCTGGCCAGAAGTCGCCCTGCTCTCCAGAGGTCGCACCCTGCAGCCCCTGCCTCCAACCAAGGTGGAGAGGAGTGGGGCGGGGGTCTTCAGTGCAGACCTCACCCAAGGGGACCCCGGATCTGCAGGGCCTCTGGGTCTCATCACTGCCTTATCGCGCTTGTCCCCACACTAGGCATCTGCCCTGGGTAAGGAGTGGGGTGGCGGCCCACAAGCCACAGCAGGAAGGAGGTGGCCCTTGGCTTGGGTCCCTGCATTTGTGTTATAAAGAGCACTTGGTTGAGATTTGAAACATCCACGTTGTAGCCCTGCGTTTGCCACCTCCTTGCCGTGTGCAGGTTGCATAACCACGGTGAGCCTTGGTGTCTGGCGGTAATAAAACCACGTGGCCTTGGCATCTCCTGGTTGAAGAAAAACAGTCATCAGGCATTGAGCAGTGGGACCTCAGCGTCCTTTTATCCCGCCACGCTGGGCAGACCAGACTCACGGTGGGTGGAGGCTGGGACCTGGCTGCATCACTGACCAGACTGCCCTGTCACCCTTCTCTCGCCTGCTCAGCTGTCACCCGGTGACTGGAGCTTGCACCTGCCAGCCAGGCTGGTCTGGCCACCACTGCAATGAGTCCTGCCCTGCTGGCTACTACGGCGACGGCTGCCGGCTGCCCTGCACCTGTCAGAACGGTGCCGACTGCCACAGCGTCACTGGCAGCTGCACTTGTGCTCCGGGCTTCATGGTAAGATGGGCTGGGCCTCCCCCGGCCTCCATGACCCCTACCTCCAGGCGCATTCCGGAGTGTGGCCCGGCAGCCAGGAGGGCCGAGTGCAAGGGTCGCCTTGTATCTCCCTCTAAGGTGGAGACTGTAACCAGGGAGGCCCTGGGGCTGCTCCTACAGGGCTAGCTCAGCTTTGTCATGGGAAAAGCAGTAGAAGGAGGGAGGGGTCTCTCCATTGTCCCCCAGCTCTGGAACCCTGGGCAGCTTCCTGTGCGCCCCTGATGGATGCTATCATATCACTGTCCTCGCCTGCCAGGCAGAATGAGTCTATGTTGGAACAAATGAGCTAACATTAATTTTTTTTTTTTTTGCTAATTACAGGGGTAGAAAATGATTCCTCAGTGTTGCTGTCATTTGCTTGTCTCTGATTACTAAGGAGAGGGACCGTTTCCCCATGTGTTTGTTGACTGTTTGTGTTTCCTCATGAATTATGCTAGTCTGTATGAGCTTTGATTCTGAGAACTTGAACTTGGGGGTGGAATTGTGTTCTAAGGCAGGCGTGCTCTCTGGGTCCGAGCACCCCAACACTCAGGGGTCCCCCATGGCCAGATTTTATATTGCATCATTGGAAGTGATTGGTGCAGTCACAAGAAGGGGGCCTTAGGCACCAGATCAGAGCCACATCCTGGCCATTATGGGCCAGAGAACCAATGTATCCTGGATTCCACTTCCTCACAAAAAAAACAGAGCACCAATTAACAAAAATAAGGCGATAGGAAGATGCGATAGAGAAGGGCCTGTAAACATCCTCCTTAACACCTAGATCATTTCGAAGCAGCTATAAGATAGGAGAATTGCATCTCTGGCCTCAGAACCAGGACACAGGTCTGAGGTTCTGCACGTCAAGCTCGCTCCAAGGTGAGGCTCGTGTGGCTGGACAGTGCTGTCACTTTGGCTGGGAAAGCGATGTTCCACTGTGGTTCTCCACTCGGAGCCCTCCCCCCCAGAAGGGGGCTTGCTTTATGAAAACTGAGCCCTGGGCCCCACCCCCAGGGGCTCTGATGTATCCAGTCTGGGGTGTGGTCCACGGCTGCAAGGTGTGGATCTGCCCATCTCCAAGGAAACCCTGTCATTATCGCGGTTGTGAGGGCTCACCCAGTGACAATGTTCTTTAAGGTCAGGCTCTTACTGATCTGCAGAGCTGGGCTCGGGACAAAGCACCCTCCCCGTGCAGAAGAACCTGGGCAGAAATGAACCCTGGCGTCTTTGGAAGGGAGAGAGGCCGGCTCCCCTGAGAGGTTTCCTCCCTCATTCCCTCTCCTCCATGTGCGTTTGCGTCCGTAGCCGCCACAGGAACACGCAGATGTGGAGTTTGGGTGGGAGAGAATGGTTGTTTGGGGTCAAAAATGACACGTGGCTGAGTGACAGCTAGCTGGGCAGCCCGAGCCCAGTCCCCGCTGGGCCACAGGGTTGCTCTGTGATGCTGGGCAAGCAGCTCGCCTGCGCCTCCCTCTGGGAAAGCTGAGAATACAGGGAGAGGTGGACCAGCTGACCCCAGAGAGAGCCTGCCGTGGGGACTCCACAGATGAGTGGGGGCATGCAGGAGCCTGAAGGAGTGTGCCCGCATCCAGCCCCTGGGCTCCGTGCCCACTGCAGGGGCTGCCTGCCTGCTCCTTCTTGCTGCCTGCTTAGCCACTGCTCCTCAGAAACAGGGAGAGGGGAGGGCCCGGGGAGGTGAGCGCCTGCGCGGCCCCTGCCCCCAGGCCTCCGCCTCCCCATCTCGATGCAAATGACCTCTCTTCCCTGGCACTGGTCAGAACCATCTTGCCACGGAGTCCCGCCTGCCTGGGGCTCAGAGCTAAGACAGATTGTGAGCCAGACCGCCCTGGTGAGACCCCTCAACTTCCCATCCACCTCCTCCTGTGCAGCCTCATTACACCTGGCAAAGCTCTGCTGCGGCTCTGTCAGGTGCCAGGCAGAGGCCAACGGGGTGAAGAGAGGGCAGTCACGTGTCCCCACCCCATGTGACTCACTCCTCTCGCCCTTGCCCCAGCCTCGGGACCAGTGCAGCTTTCCGCCAGGAGCCAGCTCTGGTCAGCGCTGGGGGGAGTTAGTGGAGCCCCTTCAGCTGAGACTCACCCCAGAGTGTCCCACGGTCAGCCATAGTTAGCAGTGCCCATTTCTGAGTAGCTGGAGACTTTCCTCCAAGGCTCGGTCACCTTGGGCTCATCGCTTTGCCCTCTAGGCCTCAGTCTCCCCCTCTGTAAGGTGGGAGGAATCCATCTTGCCTGCCATTGGATGTGAGTGGCCAACGTGGTGACAGCTGTGCGCATCCCTGGCGGTCCCCTGATACCCATGCTCCCCCTGCTGAGGCTCCTTCCCAGGATACCGGGACAGCTTTGTGACTCTCAGAAGGACAAAAATCTTGGGCTCAACGTAACCATGAGGAGAGCTGCTGAGGCAGCACAGAGCCGGCCCTGGGGGCTCAGGAACAGGGCTGTTCTGGCTATGGAGGACCGGGGACATGGGCAGAGGCAGAGCCCTCACTGGGTGCCTGTTGCATGCACTCTCATTTGTTGTGTTCCCCAGTTTGGAAATGAGGAGCTCAGGTTCACACTGGAGTCTCCCAGGATCACCAAGCCAGCGGTGGTGGGAGCCACCGAGCTTTCATCCGTTAATTGGTGAGTCTTGATTGAAGGGTCACCATGGAACCACACAAATCCAAGTTCAAGTCCCGGCTTCCCAATCCCTGGCCTGCCTGCCTGCTGTGGAGTCACTCCTGAGCCCTGATGCCTTTGTCTGCTACAAGGAGACTTTGCTGTGAGAGTGGGAGTCTTCAGGTAGAAAGTTCTCGGCTCAGTGCCTCCCACACCTGGTAAAGCAGCAAACTGTGAGGGCAGTGAGGGGACACTGGTTCCCCCAGACCCCCAGGAGTGTCAGGATGGGCTGCACCTGGGAGTTGGTGGCAGAGCAGAGCCAGGGGCACACACACTGCTGTTCCATAGCACCCAAGGACCTGTGGGTCACCCTGAGGAAGGCACACCTGTGGAGTTCCAGGGAACAGAGATAGGGACAGAGGTGGTGAGACTGTTGGGACATTTTATACCTTAGCTGGCCAGCAGCAGAGGGGTCACTTAGGGCGTGCCTGGGTGGATTGCACTGGAGCTGCCTGGTGGGAGACAAGACTCCAGATCCATCGCTCTGATTTGGCAAAGGATTTTGTGTTCCTCTTTCTCATCTGTAAAATGGGAATGAAATTCTCCACTGGACAGAAACAGTGGCGCGTGGCCATCGTCCCAGTGGCAGGGCTGGGAGTCGGAGCCTTGTTGCTTCAGAACCTTGGACAGCTCCCCCGGCCTTACGCCAGGCAGAACCAGGGTGGACAGTGCTGTGGGAGGGCTACAGGTCCTGGCACACCTGCAGTCCTGCTGGGACTCTGGAGAAGCGAGGCCCTTCCTTCCCACCTGGGCTGGGGTGCCCCGGGCGCACCCACCATTGTAACCTGCCTCCAACATCAGTGGGTCCCCCCACACTTGATCTCATCCCCCAGTGAGTCCTGTTGTCAATTCAGGTGGGGTGTGGCAGCCACAGGGAATGCGCTTTTCCCCAAACACGGCATCCAGGATCCACACAGGGCCTCCGTCTGTGCCTTATCACGTCTATGAAAATCCTTCCCAGCTTCTCAGGCTAAGAATAAAGGCTGCCTCTTCCTGGAAGCCCTCCCCCCTTTCTCCTCCCTTCAAAATTAACCACTGCACCCTCTCTGTTCCCACAACACATGGTTCACACTCAGGGTCTGTCTGTCTGAAGACAGCACGCGCCTCCCTCTAACCCCCATTCACCCCACCACACCTACTGCGTGAATGCCTCATTCAACAAACCCTTCTTTGAGCTGAATGAAATCCTTGGGAGGAGCAGTATCCTTAGAACACCAGTCTCCACGTGGCCTTTACAGGAAGCAAGCATGGAACGTCCCAAGAGGGACTTGAATCTGTAGCTGTTGGCTTTTCTGAAGTTAGATACTCGGGTCGCAGTAACGGGAGAGGGGCAGCTGTCCCCCGACACCACCTCGGGGTTCTCTGGGCAATGGCGTGAGCATCTTCCTCGGGCAGGACTGCGGTGTGATAATGCAGGGACTCTTCCTGCCTACAGACACCAGCTTTGCTGTTTCTGGCGGCTGTGTGACCTTGGACAGGATGTCATACCTCTCTGTGCCCTTGTTTTGCTATATGTGATGGCGAAAACTACCAAAGCCCACAGGATTGTTGGCCTGACGGACGCCAGTGGTGTAGGTCAGGCCCTTGGAATGCCCAGCGTGTTCGTGTCCAGCAGAGGTGCCAGTGACGTCCTTGTTGTCCTGGGAGCCGCCCCGCGCCTGTTGCTGTTTACCCCGAGGGGCCTCCTGCCTGCAGGGGCTGCCCGGCCCTGGCTCGCGCGTCCTGTTTGGGGTGCGGGTGGGGGAAAGGGAGCAGAGTTGGCTGAAGCTTCCTTCTGGCTGGGACGCACAAGGTTCCTGGGGTCTCCTAGGTTCCCCAGACCTGAGCATGAGCTTTCTCATCCCAGGGGGTGAGCCAATTTCCCAGCGTCCCCTGCACCTCTGCTGGCCGCCTTTGCTTTCCTTAATTAAGGACTCACCTAGGTGGCCAGGCTGTCGGCACCTCCTCGCCTGCTCCAGGACTAATCACTGCCACCACGGTGCCTGCCGTGAACAGCCTGGGAGATCACTGGCAGGGCTGCACATGCCATTGTCCACACAGCCTCCTGGCCGCATCCTCGCAGCACAGAGCCCAGGTGGCTGGGAGATAAGGGGCGTTCGGGCCAGCCCTTGGCCATGTACACTGCCATGGCTGTGGGGCGCTCAGGAGGTGGGGGCGGGGCACGGGAGCCGCAGGCCCCTCCCGCAGGGCTGGGGGCCCATTATTTCTCCCCAGATGACAGCATTTCTATTACCTTAAAGGGCTCATCTATTTATGCTGCAATTTTTTGAAGCCCTGTCTGCCGTTATTGAACCAGGCGTGCTG